CGCGGGGCCTACGCGAAAATAGGTCCATTGATTATGGTACCAACAGGGTGCGCACAGTTGTAGCTCAAGAGCCGGTGTGCCAGACCAAGCACGATCAAGCTTTTGACCTCAAAAACCAATGTGCCCCCCATAGCTTCGACAAACAAACTTCAAACATCCACTGTAGCCATGTCGTTACAATTCATTTTCATTTTCCTTCCCCACTGGAATTTGCAAGCAAGTGTCAAGTTAAACAACTACAAGCCAACATGATCTTTCCCCAAGACCCTTGAACAACTTTTAAAGAAGTCTGAATAAGAAAATTCAGGCTTTCATGAAAAGGGTGCCTACGCAAGACCGCCTACGCAAATCTTTCAACACCCACCTACGCAAAATGCTTACACGACGCCTACGCCCCAAGCAGAACAGCCTCCGCGACTTCTCAACAGTTCCCTTTTTGTATAAACCTAATCATTTGCAAAAAAAACGTGGCTCATGTAAACATTAAGTCATTAAGTTAAATATATACAATGTCGACTATGATTCAAGGGCCCCTCCTAATCTCAATCTCCAGAATATTGATTCCATTCTGATTGTCCTTGTCACTGCAGTAACTTGTCAGTGTTTGTCTTCGTCTCTTATGTATTCCTGTTCTTCTCTCTTATCTTCTTCCCGTCTGTGCAAAGATCTGCGTATAGGCTTCTGAACCTTGGACCTACGTTCCTGATCACGATCAGTTGCGTGATCAAGATCATGTTTAATAAATACTGAAGCACAAGGGGTGCTCATTACGAAGCCGAATGCTTGAGAGTTTAATCTGCTGTCAATGAACAACATCCCCTTCTATTTCTGCGCACTATATATTGATATACTGTAGCCCACTACTGTAGCCCATATTTGGGTAGAGCATGGACATCTATTGCGACACCATTCATTGCTGTGAGCAACGCAGAACAAACCCTTTCCTGTTTGGGCAAGGCTTCAGCTACCTCACATCCTCATGGGCTGGTCAGGGCCCTCAAGCCACTGAAGTCTATTTGTCAGGGTTTTGTGGAGTCCTTTCACTCACAAACTCGCATACTGCTGACAGTTACAGGTCCTACCTCATTCAACATGGTCTTCAAGTGACCTCCCCCCGCACAAAATAAGACCAATCGAGACTTGAGAGTGAAGCTGAGGCACTTCTTTGATCAAATTCTTTTTGGCATTCGTCTTCACCGCCTAGAACGCGCTTGAAGCTGCGCTTCAATTTCGCGTCCAGCAGCTTGCGATTGACATGCTCTGCAGCACTTGGCCCAGTTGGCCCCAAAGCAATTTCAAAACCGATCAAAACCAAAGACTGCATGCTCTGCATGGCCTCCACCCCTCAATCACCTGCATGTGAAGGCTCCCTATATAGTCTCGCACGGCCCGACGGCGACAGCACACGACATCGCCCGGCCTTGACGTGCTGCGCAAACCTCAGAAACCGACCGGCGGTGCATCCCATGACCGGCTGACGCTCGTGTTCAATAGTTCGATTGACCCTCGCTCCACGCGAAGAAGCCAAGAACAAGTCCATCATTGTAAAGTCCATCAACTGAACGTTCAAAAGGAGGTAGAAACAATTGGCAAAAATGACCCAACATGACCCAACGCATGCAGCCACAGGTCAACAAAAGGCGGCAACAAACAACAGCGAGAGGTGGCCGTGTTTGCTCCCCTTGTTCGCCCGTTGTTCAAAATACAGTATATCTAAATATGTTTAATACAGTAGAGAGTATAGTTCTGGGCCCTGGACCTTGTTTCTCAAAGAACGACCACAAATTAAATATTGAACGCCTTATGAGTTCAACGGACAACAAGTTCATGTCCACTACGGAGGCAATAAAGACTCAATCATCCAAAAACATGAGATTCTACACCGCACTGAAAGGGCTCATGTTTGAGTTCTTTGGTTCCCTTTGGGGGTGTCCACCTCCCTCAGTTAACTCCCTGGGTCTAGATGTCCCACCAGCACGCCCTGCCGAGACCTCGAGGACAACACCGCCGTGGCTTTTCAGATGTTGAAAAGCCGTGACCCACAGGTCGTGCCTAACTTCCGAACGTGCCCAGGTGCTAGGCTGCTAGAATCGTCTTCCAACATGCCAGTGGCTCAAAGGTGAGGACTTGGTTTACAGCACCATCCTCCGTGCTTTGCCACTCGGATCCCTTGAGCATTGAGAAGTGGTGTGTTTTGTATGCCTGGCAAAGGATATACTGTCATGTCTATACCTACAGAATACATATATACCCCTCTTTTTGTTCGGCTCAGTGGCTGCAAGGTGCTCATGGTCTCCTCGTAGTCAGATCCAGCTGGAGATAATGCTGCGATCATGGCCTTGGCCGAGTGGTTCGTGGGGAACAATGAGGTCAAAAAGGATATCATCTGCTGGGGTTGTCTGACAGTGTCTGTTACAAATGTTACAATGTTGGCCGCCCTTAGGTCGCGTTGCGTCATCTGCAAGAAATCATGAATCGTCTTTAAGAAAAGGAAAAGCCTTGGAGCCAAAACAATGATGTTGCTGCAATCATGTGCAATCATTTCCGATATTCAACATAACATGCTAGAATGGAATTTGGTAAGAACATGTTCCTCAGCAATCCATTAGTGACTACTTTGTCATTGGCAATGTCGCTTGACCTGAGGGAGTCCAAAACAAAGCTGGCGTACTATGGCTCTACAGGCCCAAGTGCATCTCCCCGCACTTAAGAAGAAACAAAGCCATCTTGACTCCCATCCTCCCACGTCTGGCCCCCTGCAAAAGCACCCCAGGATGATGAAAAAACCGTTTGCCTTTTGAAAACCCCACACCACTGGCATTTCAAAATGGACCCTGGTGTTTCTAAGGTGTTCTTCACGGTCTGCCAATGACCTCAGCTTCGTGGCTTCTCGTCCTTTCCACCGTCCACAGGGCACCCAGGCGCTCTTGGAGTTCCCCCGCAAGGAGTCTTCCAACCTGGGTCATTTCAGGCCACCCCGGATTGCATTTGGAGTACTGTTGTTTTTTTTGGCGTGCCAAAGGAGTCATCGGTGTTGATCTTGGATAGCTACCGAGCAACTCAACAGATTTACCTCTCACCATTCCACCGATGTCACTGGAAACATTGGCATCGAGTGAGTTTCCAGGACAAGGACCACCTGAGGCCAACTGCCAACAGTCTGACAGGGTGTATGTATATATATATATATATATGTGCAATCAACATATACATGTACAGTATCTCAGTATATATAAAATATCTAAAAATAACAATATAATATAATATGTATAGTACACATGCATATATATATATATATACATACATTTACAACAAACCATATGAATCATACAAGGACCTTCCGGATCACCAGTTTTGCCTGTCTTGGGGCTGTAAGTGCAAATCCTTCTGAAATGATAGAAGTTAAGTGTTCGAAGCGAACACCTCATGGGCCAAAGGATGCTTCATGATGTTTCAAGAAAGCACATGAACTGCCTCATTGAACCAAACGGAGTCCTCAAACTCACCAAAAGTGTGATCACACTAGCAACTAGTTTCATATGCAATGGTTTGTGCTGTAGATTTGTAGATGTGGCATGACTGCTGATTCCAATCTTCCAAGCAGCAAGAAGGTCAACTTGGAGTTCCTGGCTTTTCTTCAAGTGGAGAACGCTTGAAGACCCAAACCAGCCAGAAACACACTAGATTCCTCGTTGTGAGACAGCAACTCACATCCGCCGTGACAAATTAGAGGGGTTCCAGGTTAGTTACTGTTAGATGGTTTCGCTTCGCAATGTCACTGACTGTTGGAACCATCGGACATAAACAATCTTTTCTCAACTTGGGCTTAGCGGCTTATCGGCTTGATATGGATGTGATTTGCTGCACTGGGCATGTCTGTATATGAGTAGCGGACAACACTTCTTCGTGTCCCCAATCTCAAACAATATTTTGGGTTGTCTAGCGGTTTCCTGCGTTTTGGAATGCAAGCCATGAGCTCATTTCAATCAAGGGAATTGGAAAAGGGCTGGCCCCTATCATAAATGTACATGCATGGAAAGGCTTTGTCTGATGTTCCTGCGATTCAGCTCCTAAGGTTCCAAGATTCATCCAAGAACTCAAGCCATTGGGGTCTTCCAAAGTTTCAACAGTACAAACACGTACCCACTGCAATTTCATGAGCCAATCCCAACACTCCGAAACAACAACAACAAAAAAACAAACAAACAAACAAACCAACAAACCAAACAACCAAACCAAACCAAACCAAACCAAACCAAACCAACAAACAAACAACAACAACAACACCAACACCAACACCAACACCAACACCCACCACGACAACCACCACGACAACGACCACGACCACGACGACGACGACAACAACAACACTTCCAGTCCCACCCGTGCTCATCTGCTGGCCTGCCTTTTTTTGACTCCGCAGGGCCAGTCTGGGACTTCAAATGGGCCGTTCATTGAGATGATTTGCGCCGCAGGCTCAGACCCTCAGACCCTGAGAACTCATCCGTTGTTCAAAGCATTTTTTCTCTGCAACCCAGTGCTTTCGGGGTCCATGTTGATCTGGAGCTTTTCCGCGACCCTTGGTGAGGTCATTGAGCATCCTCTTCGGGTTGCCATCCCACAAAAAGCAGTCCATCACCGGCTCCGGCTTCGGCTCCGGCTTGTTGCTTTCGCCCGTGAAGCTGTTGCGGTCCTCTGGCGCCCAACCTTTTGCCATACCGAAACAGGGCACCGCTCACGCGGTTCCGCTGGGCTTCTTTGCGATCTCATCCAAGACCTCCTTCAGCGTCATGGCTTCGCACATGGAAGCGTTGGAACGGAGCAGCGCATGTCCGGAAACCAGGAGCACATGTCAAAATCAAGTGGACATCAGCACTGCAAGGTGGAAAGGGAGCTAGCACGCAAAGACTTTATAACACTAGCCCACCTATTTCTCGATTTCCCGTTCCCACATGTTCATCCTGATTCACTGGGTCTTGGTCCGCGATCCCACGCATTCCTTAGGCCTTCGTGGCTGGGATGTACCTCGGATTGAAATAATCCTCCACGAGCTCTGCGAACTCCTCGAAGGCTCCTTCCAACTGAGGACATTCGACATTCTTCTCTTGCATCACCTGGAGCTGAGGGTGCCGCAAACACTCAGCAATCAAACCAAGGGCTTGGCTTGAGTGCGTTTTGAATCAGTCGATGTGACTCATGAAATCGGGAAGCTGGCAGCCTGTACCCAAGTCTTGTGCCGCGCCACCTGTGGTTCCAAGAGTCAATCCACTTACCACACGTGCGTCGTGCAGGTGACCGCTGGTGGTGATGCAGTTGGTATAAATAGGGAACCTACCGTCAAAGGCCAACCAAGGGCTTGGAAGACTTACAGGGAACCTGAACGAGAATTAATCTATAGATATCAAATGATATCAGTAGTTCTTGAGGTGATGTGGATCTAGTTTGGGGTTGTATTGTGCATCCTCGGGGGCCTTCTAAATTCACCAAGACTCAGCTACCAGCGCTTGCAAAACGCCCTTGAACCACTCCTGAGCCCGGCAAATTGCTAATCTATCACCGATTCAATGGGAAATGGCCCAAACACCAAAGGCAATAGTGAAATGACGAAACCACACTGTAACTCTCACATGAGCCGTATAAGCCCGCCATACTATACCACCATAAGTACAAGCGGCGATCACTCTTGGACCGCTTTCAAGTCAAGTATATTCAACTGAGGTGCCAGTAAGTGGTGTTAGTAAATGGTGCATATAGCGAAATGCCACGCGGTGCTCCTTGTTGCACGACATATGTGCAAGCACACCTTGGACACTGCTATATGTGCACTACGGGCATGAACCAAAAATAGTGAGACAAATCTAAGGGCCCCTAGAGCATGAGAGTCAACACACCGTATACATCCGTATACCTTACGGAACCCAACATCGACTGTGGCTAACATGAATGCACCAATCATCGACGCCGCATCACGTGGCGGCCGCATCTGATCTCAAGTAAGGGTACTTGAGCAAACTGACAGAGAAGCAAGCATCTGACAAATCTAGAAAGCCATACATCTAGCGGGGGAGGATCGCCGGGTACGTGGATACTGGGATTGGTGATCGGAGGAGGCTCCCAAATTAAGCATCCCGATGTCCTGGATGAAAAAAGGAGGACATTGCCAGAAGACGAGGACCTACATACAGATTTGAACTATCTAATTGAACCATTATTGGATTTCTAGATGGCGACGGGACTCAAATTGTCACATGTGGTTTTGATTTACGTCTGGTTGTTGATATGTTCTATTTGAACTTACAGTAGAACCAGGTGAACAGGCATGACATCATTGTCCCGTGATCCAAGGCTCATTGGCAGGCCTTCCGTCCTCCTCAACGCCACAAAGCTTTCGCACATCCTCCATCATGGAGAGAGGCATGAACAGAATTTCGCCATCATGCTCTCCGTCTTCAGACCAGGCATAGGGAGGAGGTGGAAAAAGAAGCCTCCTGATCCGATCTGGCAAATAAAAGCCCACGCCCCTTTTGAGGGCATGAGCAGCAAATTGAAACAAGCACATACAGTAATACAGTATGTAACATAAATGTTCTGAGTAGGCTATGACTTTTTGGCCTGGGTGTAGGAAACAAACAAGTTGTATATATATATATATACATCTATACAAAAAAATATATATGCATATATTTTACATCCACTAGTCACATATATCATATATATATATATATTGTTAATCTCACCCTGGAGTTGAATGATCCTAACCTTGGGGAAACCCGGTCCTCTTGTCCAAGCGGCCTCGCTCTTTGTCGACGATGTTCGGTCCACCCACCCACCCTTTCGGTAGGTTCGATCAAAAGGTCGTCATGCGAGACATCTGATTGGTAAGCTTGTGAGCTTCACACACCCTTTACTCTTTTATTTTGTAAAAGACTGTCTCGCCGGTCCATGGGAAGGAAGTCTTTCGATGTGCACATGTTCCCACCCAGTAGCTGCGTTCTCCTGCACACCCCTGTTGGTAGGTGTCCCTAAAAACTTCGAGTTTTCTCAAGTCAACAGGACAGTCAACAACCCCGACAGGTGAAAACAACTGATATCTTGGTTTCACGTGCACCCGAATGAGTTCTCCCTTTGGACCCATTTTCCAAAAATCCTCCTCATGCATAGATTTGCCGATCTGTTCAGTCAACATGGCTTCTTCGGATGATCGAGTTGTTGTCGATCCATGCTGCTTGATCCATTTCAGTCGCTCCCGAGCAGTTAGCCGTTCTTTCAACGTGTGGTTTTCGTCCCGAAGGATGTATTTGCCAGTTCTTAAACACTCTCTCAAAGCACTGCTGTCCATCGTCTTCGTCAAGCAGTCGGCTAACATCGCTTGTGAGCAAACCCACCTGACGGTGGCATTATCACGAAGCCTCTCGCGAATCAGCAGACACTCTATAGTCGTCCTGTGTTCAGAACACTGTGGCAACGCTGTTCGTGTCAAAAGGTCGTAGGCCGATTTACAGTCGGTGACTAGGCCTGCTTGATTCTGGCTCTTCAACAAAACCTCAGGATTCTTCCAATCACAGTCCGGGTCGAGGATTGTTGCCCACAGGATCCGGAGCCACAAAAGTCGGTCGACTGAATTGCTCAGTGCTGCTGCCTCGGCACCAAGTGTACTTCTGACAACTCTAGGAATCTTCTTACTATACCAGGCGACTGGAGCTACCACAGACCTCTTATTTTCCAAAAGTTCGGGTGTCGTTGCAAAGATTATGGTTCCTTGTTGTGCCGTGGTATGTTTGGTGCATGAAAAGGAGGCATCCGAGAATGCACAGTAGGTCACTCTCTCGGGCTGGATCGGCAACACCATCAATGAAACACGATTCTGCTTGGCCTCTGTCAGCACTTTGTTCCCCAAAACTAGATGTTTTACCTGTGCCCTAGTGACCTCACTCTGCAACTCTCCTACTTTGGCTGCTAGATCTGGCCTGCTATGTACTGCTGCATATTGGAGTGCTCCAATGAGGCTTCTGAAAGCGGTCCTTTCACCTTCTGAAATCAAGGATTCAGGATCTTCTTTGCGTCCCTTCCCAAGAGCGATGGGTTGTATCTTCTCGATGTAGGGGACCTGGTCGTACTCAATCGATCCATCATCCCACTGCCTAAAATGAATCCCGGTATAGGTGAATTCTCCTTCTTCAAAAGCCCCAAACTTAAATTTCTTCTCTACCCTACGTAGCATGTCCATAAACTTTGGACTGCCTCCGCCAATGCCGTCGTCAACGTGAATCCCAAGACAGCCTTCCAGACCATCCTGGGAGTGGTAGGTAAAAACGCAGGGATCGAGAGGTGATTGTCGACATCCTTGGCGTTTCAGTTCATCCCTAAACTCACAGAACCAAAGAAAGGGAGCATCTATCCTGCCATATGCCCCTCCATCCAGTTGCACCTGGTCTGTCTCTGACATGTTCAGGGCTTCACGCATTTCTGGAACCGGAACTAGACCTAGGGGTCGACCGTCACCTTTTCCATGAAGAAAAGCAGTTGAGATATCAAAAGAAATCAAAGGCCATTGGTGACTGGCAACTGCTTGAAGCAAAACGGTCCTTCCATCCTTCGAGAGAGTTGGTGCATCATTGATCACCTGGTCCAAGTCAGGGTCCTCCCAACCTATAACAATCAAACGGGCCTTGGCTTTCTTTCCTTCAGACGACAGATCCGTAGGTAATTCGTCTTCGGATGCTGTCTTCCAAACATACAGCCATCGGCAACGCATGATGGCATTGTCGGGGATCTTGCCCTGGGATACTCTTCGAATTGTCTTGTGCTGCAACCAGGCGCCAAGTTCCTTATGCTTGGCCACTGCAAACCGTTTCTGATCTTCCTGGGACAACTCCTTCAACTTTATCTCAGTTCTCTTCTTTCGTTCAGAAACAGCGGCCAAAATCAGGGCATCTGGTGTTCCACCAGCACTTTCGATCTCACAGGCAGGTGTCACATCTATTTCCCAACACCGCCCCTGACCAACCTCCTGAAAGAAAAGGGTATCCCCAAACAATTCATCATCCTCAGGAACCGGAACATCGGTGCCGTCTACCTCAACGTTCATGGAAGGTTTTCTAGTCGGAGCAGATACTTCTTCTTCAGGCTCAGGAACCAAAACATCTTCTGGTTCCCCAGGTGTCTCGCCGGGATCGGGCCGCTCGACATCGGGTTCACTCGGTTCAGGAAGATCATCTGGATCAAGCTCGCACAAGTCCTGGTGACCTATCCTACGAGCCCAATCAGGGGCTGGTACTCTAAACTCTTCGGTGTCTTTGATCATCTTCCATTCCCTAAGTGAAGCTGCACGCAACTGTTGTGGACTGGCTCGAACGAGACGATGGGCGTGCACCAACCATATCACCTTCCTACTTTCCACAAGGGCGACACGAGCAGGTCCAAACCACTGTCCTCGTTCCCGTCTCATGTTTCCACCTTTTCGTTTCCAATACAAAACCAAGTCCCCCACCTCAAAATTCTCCCTAACCGGTCTACTTCTCCGCAACATGATCCGTCTTAGACTGTTTGAATTATCCAAGGAAATGAAAGCTCTTCGTGCGGATTCTCGGAGGTCTAAAGCTTCTTTGAACTTATTGGGGCCCTCATCTAGCGCTCTTTCATGACTCAGTGCACTATCATCTGAAGTAACGGAACCCGGTAGTCTGGTCGCACACCCCAAAACCGCTTGTTCGGGTGAGTACCCAGATTTCCGTGTTAATGAGTTTTTCGCATGGCATGCTTGGACTATGGCTCGTTTGAATGACTCCTCTTCTAGGATTGGTACCTCTAGATCCATACGTGTCAACATTCCCTTCAGGATGGATCCATGGGCCTCCACCCTGCCTAGTTGCCAATGTGATTCACGGGCCGAAACTTTCAGGGTGATCCCTAGTTCTTGTATTCGTGTCATCCATGCCTCGCTCAAATATTCTTTTGCGGGGTCCACATAAATGGTCTTTGGAGGTCCTGCCCAACTAAACCAGTGATCTTCTAGCAGATTCCATTGTGCACTCGAATCACTACCACATGGTCGGGCTACATGAAACCGTGTCCCTTCATCGATAATGTGCGTGAAATGGAATTGGGTTCCCTGAGCATTGGTCCACACTGCACCATCCATACCGATGGTATCATTAAAACCAAGATTCTCATGTATCCCCCCAACCTTTGAAAGATCGAAGCCTTTCCGGGACTCTGAACATGCATCACACTGGTAATCACGGGCGGCGTCCGTCAACTCCGACTCTGCGTTCGTGGATCGAAGGAAACGAACAAACGTGTCGGCATCCGGATGTCCAAGTCTGTGGTGTACCTGTTGAATCCACTTTTGTTTCTCCCTATCTAGATTCAGGTAACCAGGTCCATGTCTTGACAAATTCCGGGGTGGTCTTCCAGGAATCTCTAACTCTTCCCCTGATGTCTGAGGATCTCCCTTCTTTTCGGGGTCATCTTCCATCAAGTCAGTGTCCCCCATCCCCATTCTAGACCTCTTTCCTACGTAGGTTTCTTGTTCTGGAACATCTTCAATCTTTCGTTTCTCCCCGACGGGTTCAATCATCATGTCGTCTTTCCTAGGTTCCCGGCCGGACGTTTCAGGTTGCTTAGTACCAAACAGGGTTAAAGTAATCTTCGAAGGAATCCCTTTTCTGATGCGCTGCCGCTGTGGCAGCTTTTGCCATTCCTCTTCCTCTCCGACTTGTTCGATATTTCCGGACGATCGACGAAGTGAAAAAGTTTTTCTGAAAACAAGATCTTCCAAAGGAGTAGACGCTTTGGGAATCCTCAACCGTTCAGTCCCTCGACATACCTCTGCATGTACTAGTCGGAAGGTACAGAAACCCTGGGCCTGTTTGAAAACAGCAGTTTCCGGTCCTAGAACTATTGAACCTACTCTCGGGGCCAGTTTGTCCAGGTCTCCAAAAAGGGTCTTGATTCTCTTTTCAAAGTCCATCCTACGATTGACATCCAAATCTTTATCTTCTTGCGTCCTCTCTCCTACCGTTTGCTTCGAGATGAGTCGTCTTCGTTTCAATGCCTCCCCTACCAATACCTCATCTACTTCTTGTCCTTTTTCTGAAATTAAGAGTTCATCAAACACTAAAGGACGTTCTTGAGGATCGATCTGTACAGCTCGAACCACTGCACGCGCAAAGTCTGACGAGTACTTCGCAGCGAAGGCAGAAAGTGGCATCCACCTTCCAAGGTGTTTCACCTGTCCTGCAATCTGCTTATGTTCATGTTTCTTGCGACAGTATCGACAGTCTAGCGCTCTGTGCAAATTTCGGGAGGTCGTCAAAACTATCGTTCTCTTTCTCATCGACTCACCCTTCCAATTCAGCCTACCCACTTCACACATGTCAAAAAACCGTTGGCAGAGTACCCCATCTCAATTGTTCCAATTCGGGTTGAACTACCATCTCAGAACCGACAGGCTGTTCCAAATGAAAATGTCTTCCATGTTCCACCTGGTACATGAATAGTTCTTCACACAAACTCAAGTTTGGTCTTTCATGTTTTCTCCCGTCTAGTATGTAGGTTCTCAGTTGTTTGCTTCTGCCCATGTTGCGTCTGGAGAAATTTCCCCAAAACCTGCAGTCAGGTGAAGCCCAAATGTGTGTGGGCTGCTGTGTTTCCAGGATCTGCCATAGCTTGTTCTGACCCTCAGGGGTCCGGAGATCACCATCCTGGATTGTGAATCGACGGGTCTTCAACCCCATCTGGCTTGCTATCTGTGTCAGGTGGGAGTTTGGATAACAGTAGATTTCCAGGATGTCCAATCTCTCCTTCGAATTGTGGGTTCGTGGTGCTAAGTGTCGTGTCCGGATGTCAGCTGAGTGGTTTGCCAACTCTTGCATCTGAAACTCAATCTTTTCCACCAGGTTAGCTAACTCCTTGGCAAAGAAGTCGTTGATTGGAGTGTCCATACTGGTATGAAGTTCAAACGAAGGTTGGTTCTCATAACTCAACTTCTCACTTGTATCATTCATGATTCCTCTGCTGGCATCAGGAAAGCCAACTCGCGTTGCAGAATGGCTATCTGCGTCTGGATCTGGGTCACTCGATCTCGGTTCTCCTTCGCAAGGTCCACCTGCATCTTCTGATGGTCCTCGAGAAGTGGCACTCCTCGTTTTCCCGGTGCCGATCCACTTGCCATGGATGGGATTCCCACGGGAACTTCCGAGCGGTGGTAGCTGTTCAGGTCGTCGATCACATCCCAGTCTGTGGCTGTCGCTCCCTGCTGTGCCCACTCCTCTCGGGTCTTCTTGATCATCTGAGGCGTCAGCACTGGCTGCTGGCTTTCCACCGGCATGGTCGTCTCCATCCGAGCGGTGGCCAACACATAGTTGTGAAAGCTGAGAGCCCAGGCTGAAGTGCAATCTCCCTTTCGTTTCATGAACTCCACGTAGCTCGCATCGATGGCCAGGACCTGGGCAAATGTCTTGCCTGCATGCTTGCCGCCTCCCAAGACCTGATCTCCCCACTGCCTCAATGTGGTCACACCCGGCGGCTTGACGATCTTGGCATCGTTGACCGATGAGATGTTGGTCAACGTTGCATCTTCTGGAAAGGTCAGGGGACTGTCCAGTCCCGACACCGCCGCATATGTTGGGATCACCTTCTTGGGCGCCATGGAGTAGGTGATTGGCTTGGGAAATCTCGGCACTGCTTGAAACTCGAAGGGCTGCTGGGCATGTCTGTCGTGTCATCTCTGTGCTCGGCTGGTTCGTGTCTGTGTTTGTCGTTGTGAGGTTGTTTCCATGACCGTTTACATTGGAAAACTCTAGCATATGAGTCACGACCTCCCAAGTCTCATTCTGCACTTCCGCACTGCCAGCATGTTTCATGACATCTAACAAGTCAACCAAGAACAAACCTTTCTCACTCACCGTCAATGGAACACTCACACGTCCATGAAACATGCACAATTCACGCTTCGAGGTGCAAATATCTGCCGACACTGCTTTGCAAAAGGCATTTGACAGTAAAAAAGGAGTAGTGCCATCAACCACTTCAAGCTTTAGCCAACGCTTACCAAAAGGCAGAAAAACCGCACCTAGACTCTTCAATGTCCCATTGTTTCCGAATCTAAACACGGTATCAGACTTCTGCCATGAGATCTGACGTGCATATTCCTTCGGCAAATTGACGAGCAGCTGCTCTAGTCTCTTTTTTTCCAATCACGGACTTAGAGGCTCCTGTGTCCAGGATTGCTACACTACCGTGGTCTACAAAAAACATCGGCTCATGTGGGTCTTCATGCCTGACACGTTTCCCCAGTGTAAGGCCCCCTAAGCCTCGTCTCAGCTGTTGTTTCAACTCTTGGAGGGACAGAGCAGCAAAAAACGAATTCTTCATTAACACGGATTCTTGTTTCAGAATACCGACAAAATTTTGTGGGTTTGTTTTCAGCACCGGCCTGGCTGTCTTCAAAATTCCCGGTCGAGCTCATGCCAGGGTCGGTCAACAACATCGTCTCATTCACATCGTTCTGAATCGTCGCCTTCTCCTGGACGACGGGCCACCACTCAGGGAGCATCTGTTCTAGTGAGATCGGGAGTCTTTCCAAGACCTCCGAGTCGACCTCTGACACATTCTCCCCAACCAAAGTGGACATGTGGATCTCCGCTGAAGGCGCTGCGGCATTCGAAGTCGTGCCCTTGTTTGGGCATTCCTGTCGCCAATGCCCACGAGCTCCGCAAAGACGACAATGGGAATTAGCTATGCGGTCCGCCAGTGACTGGCGTCTGCGGAAACCACCTTTTGCATTCCACGGACCCTTCTTGGATCCTTTGTTCTTTCCTTTCCCCTTCGACGGCGGCCAGAAACCACGGGCACGGATCTTATCTCGAACTCGGCCTCTGGCTTCTGTGTATGCTGAGAAGCACATGCTCAAATCGACGTTGTCCTGACAAGCTTCGATCAACTGGTCTTCAAACTCCGTGATCATCAAGGCATCCTCATCGCCTTGTTCCATCAACACCTGAAGACCCATCTCGTCGTCAATCTGGTTGTCATCCTCCGTGAAGTAGGTCGGAATGGTCATCTCTTCTTCATCATCAACGAAATTGACTGGATAGACCTTCTTCTTTGGCTCGGAACCGGATGCACCCACCAGGATGCGAGGAGCAAGTTGTCTCATGGAGTCTTCCACTTTCTTGGCCTTGAGCTCCCCGGCACACATGGCAAGTACCCGCTTCTTGTCTTCTCCATTCAAACCACTTTGACGCAGCATGATGAATGCTTTGATCTCTTGAATGGTCACATTCTTGATCTCAGCAAAGGCAACATTCATACGGTTCACGTATGAAAACACTGACTCATCTGTCTTCTGGGTCACCTTGTACAGAGCCCTCTCGAATTTTTCATAGGTCTGGAGTTCAGCAGAGTCCTCCCAATCGGCCACCGCACTCAGCAAGAGCTTGATGCCTCCATTTGGGTCCGAGAGCTTTTCACCATCTAGGGCTTTGACCTGAGCCCAGGCGGTGCCCTTCATCAGAAGTGCCAGTCTGGGAGCTAGCATAGAACGGTCCTTGACGGGGCAGATGGAGTGCAAGAAACGAATCTTGTCGGCATACCCCCTCGGGTCGTCAACTGACGGGTCAAAACCCGGAAGAAGACTCCAGATGTGTCCGGCCTTTTCTTCTCCCGAACTTCCTTCCGTTCCGGCCATGGCTCAGTGGTCGAAGGAAAGGTAAAATGTCGTGCAACAAAATTCTGGGATCAAATGCAACCTATCCTAGGTTAATTACTCACTGGAGAACCCCTCCAAAATGCCTACGCCTCCTTGCGGAGGCTCCGCTACCAATGTTAATCTCACCCTGGAGTTGAATGATCCTAACCTTGGGGAAACCCGGTCCTCTTGTCCAAGCGGCCTCGCTCTTTGTCGACGATGTTCGGTCCACCCACCCACCCTTTCGGTAGGTTCGATCAAAAGGTCGTCATGCGAGACATCTGATTGGTAAGCTTGTGAGCTTCACAATATATATGTATACATATGTGTGTGTGCATGAGGCTGCATCAGCCTGTGTACCAGGGCCATCTATACAGTTGTGCGTAACCCTGCTCATTGCACATTCTGAGCTTCCCCTCATCCACGTTACTCTCGAGACAGGTCAGCTTGAACGCACTGTACACGGCTTCGGCGTTCAGTATCTCTGCAGATCGAATCCTGAGCTGTGGGTGCATGAGAACCAACATGTACGTTGCAATGGAGCAACACCAACTGCCCAAGCATCTGATTGATCTTTACCACACGGATTGACATGCGTAAAGACCTGTCCCAGGTCACTAACTTGGTCCGGGTTCACTGACTGGCCTTCACATCCATATAGACTAAAATGATCTAAAATGACATCAGAATGAAATATCACAAATCCTCCCCCAATCACTTGTTTGCCATGCATTCAGGTCATGTCTTTTTGGGGAGAGGCACTTCCCGCAAACCCAGCTATCACCAGCTTTTCACCGGCTTACAGTACAAAGGCAAAACGTCCGCATCCGCACATAAATTTGGCCCTTGGCATCCCAATCGGACCTTTTTGCACCAACGATATTGACACTGAGGGCATCTGAGCAGCTGCAAAAGGACTGACTGCCTTAGATAAGCAATCACCGGCATGCCTTCAATCCCTGGCGACCCGGAAACACCGAACTTGGTTTCGGGCAATGGGTAATCCCCAAATGGATAGCGGCCACGGTTTCCAAGACATGTTTGCTAGGGGTCCATGATGGTCCATGTTTCATCCTTGTTCTACCTATTTCGGGGGTCTGTATACTCTCCGATTTGACGCCAGCTCCGGCCTCCGGACTCCGTGCGGCGGAAGAGACGGAGTGGGGAACACGCGCACTGGGGGAGGAGCCCTCCACGGCCAAAGGTCAGAGATCTCACGGTATATAGCTGACCACTGATCCATATTGATCAGCTTCTAGAAGCTGTTGGATGTTAATGTTGATGGACGGGAGGGGGGCATCGTTGGGCAGGTGGAAGTTGTGGTAAAACGATTGAGTTTCTGGTGCATTCGGGTTCTGATTTGTAATATATTCAAAAGGTCCAGCTTGCCCAGACTTCCGGAATCCCAGTGCGGGGGAGAACTTCTCGCATATACATCTATACAAACAGGATTTGTTTGCCCACGGATCCAGTGCTCAAAGATTGAAAAAACCATTAAAGCACATTCAACACCCTCTTGGACTGAGAATGGGTAGATCATGATGAAATCACAGCATTCTCATGACCATGTCTAGCTGCTAGCGGATCCCAGGTTCGACATCCCAGGATTCTTCCGCTCACCGAAAGATTGCGTACGCTGCCAATATTTGCTCGGTGGCTGGCCAATGCGGGCGAAAAGTCTGCCAATGAAGAAGTGCACCGGTGAGTGTCTGGCTTGCCCATGAGTGAGCTGTCTCTCTGCCCGCAGCCAAACAACATCCTGGCAGCGGCAGCGGGGTGCAAACTTAGCGACTCGTGTTTGAAAACCGTTGAGAAATCCTGGCCCTAAATACCCCTGCATTGGCTGCCAGGATTCTTCTTAGCGGCGTTCTTCGTGTCTTACCACACTGCTCCAGCTGGATCTTGGGCTACCCAACGCATGTCAGCACGGCTTGGGCTAGTGACAAACCTCCTCACATGAAACATCGTTTGTCCAACCACCATCCCCGGCATCTCTGCCATTTTCTGCCCATCCTTGTCCGCAGTTGCTTGCCAGGGTGAGGCGGATGAAGAACCCATCCTGCCCAGGCACAGCTTGTGCAACTGCCCCAAGCGGTCTGAGACCTCGAGCTGAGGTGGTGCTGACCACGGATCACAAGGGAAAATCTGAGCCAAGAGTCTGCTATGGAGGTAAGATTGATTGTTGTGTTTGCATCAACAATGCCTGCAACTAAGCAGAAGAGCACACGCTTCAAAACCCTTTGAATTGGGGGGCAGCGATGGCCTTGCTTTGGGGATAAGCACTTTGGCTACCTGCAGCGAACTCTGATATCATTCGCTGTTTCATCAGCGGGCCACACAAAGCAAACACGAGTCACCAGGATTGAGACTATACAGTTATTTTAGAGGCCAATAGCCATAGGTGGTGGTCCTCCGTCTGCAATCTAACAGGAGCTGTTCAATAGCTCCAAGAGCACGAAGCCAAACCCCGCAACCGGTCAAACTTGGCGAAACCATGAGAACTTGAGCTCTTTTCATCCATTGGCAATGGTTATTTATCTTATATATACAGTATGTGTGTGTGTGCAGCGGCATGTCCTTTTCAATTCTTTCCTTGACATTCCTTTACACCTTCTTGCCGCGACAGGTGTTACGGCGGGTCTCCCAATCTTTCCCCAAGCCACTCGTCGGAGATCCTCAGGGGACAGCCCTGACAGAAGATCCTGAGAGCAGTGGAGGACCAAGCAAAACCAGCAACGCAACGGTTGCAAGTTCCACTTTCTGAAAGGCTCACAAATATAATATGAAAAATCATGAAACATCTCAAATCATCAACAATCCTCGACATGTTTGAACAGGCATTGTGCAGACTCCCCTGGAATTCGCACAGGATTGCTCCTCATCACTCGCTTCCACCACCTCCAGTAGCTTTGCTCGCTTGGCCGCGGAAGCCGCCGGTGCCGCGGCGTCGCGCGCCGGTGCCGCGGCACGACCGCCCTCGCGTTTGATGGGCCGGGAGCGGGATGGATCCTCTGAGCGATATTGGATCCTGGGATCGCCAGGAAGCGCTTTGTCTAACGAGGTAGGAGAGTCATGATGGTCATGGAAGCAAACACTTGCGAGCAAACACGGGCCTTGTCTACACCGTGTAATCGCAGCGAAAGAGCAAGACCAAATTGCGTATTAGGCAAAAATGTCCGCCCAACTTCACTTAGGCAAAAAATTCGGCCCGTTTTCACGAAGAACGCCTAAGCTGCAGCCTCGAGGGTCAAAAACGCCGAGGCACGATCACATGCATTCTTAATTACATGCAGGAGGCAAATCCATAATCTGAATGAACAAGCTTTTTGAGAAGGCAACCTGACGCTAGTGGCCGGTGTGAAGTAAAGTTCTTGAAACTCATGTCACTTGCTCCCCCAAAAAGGATACAATTCCTTTGTCCACCGTGTCCTGTATTCTATTGTTCCTGGAGCCACTGGTGGGTAGAGCCTTATCTATTTGAGCATTGCAATTGCCACCAAAAGGATAAGAACGCCTAGCGGAGCCAAGAACGCCTACAGGGGGCAAGAACGCCTAAACACAAACAAACGCGCTTTACCCATAACGAGCTGAAACGTCTGCCGTTCACTGGCAAGGCTGCCATAGCTCAGCTTAAGGCCATCTATGATCATCTATGTTCCGAGATGCTCCGAACACTAGGGGATGATACTGATGGTCATCGCCGTTCTTCCCCTCCCCGGGCATCGCTGTTCGCTGCTAGCGGCATCTTCTCCAGGTCTACACGCCATTCGCCCAGTGGCACCTGCTCCGAGATTGGACGGGCTCCGGTCTGGCAAAGGCTCCACGCTGCCTCGATCTGCTCGGATTGCTCTGCGGAGTACGGCGCCCATCCTCGAGACACTTTGAAGAACCAAGACATGGCCGTCCGCGCCGCGGCGGTGAGTTGGAGCGCCGGCCACTGCGGGAGGTGATGGAAGGCCATGATTGGAACTGAGGTGCGCACTGTTTGGATGCGCATGAACCTGTGAACCACCTAGTTTTGGAATGTGGGCGATCCGAGCTCAGATCAGTCAATGCTGGTGCTTTTATTGAGTTTTTTCTGCTGGTGCGGCCTTCATGTGTTGAACCTTAGCTGAAGCAAAATATGGTGCAAGCAGGAGGTTGTCACGCAGATCGCTTCAGCTGCACTCAGTGAGGTGACAACCGACCTTTCAGACAGCAGATCGCTTCAGTCTGAACCTCCCTTTCAGGTGTGGACAAATGGTGAGTAAACTGGTTCATGCATAGACTACTGAAAATACCAATGCCAACATGAAACCACCAAAAGGTGGCACAGCCACTATAACTCACCTTCCGAAGAAGGACCGTCGCCAAATGCTGCCGCCCATTCACGGACAGCTGCCCTCTCTCACGTCACGCATCGTGCCACGCATCGTGCCTGAAGGGGATGAAGTCCATGGCTTTCTTGTTTTCCTGCCATCACAACGGGACGGCGAAGCAAACGACGAGACCCCAGAAATAGAGGTCAAGGCTTCCTTCGGGGGGGGGGGGCGGGCGGCGATCTGGACCGCGAAAATACACCCAGAATTGGTTCTTGAGGACTATGTCCCTTCACTCTTCACTTCCATTCCCTTCACTTCCTTTTCTTCAGTCGGACCTGTACCTGTCCATTCCTCATTTTTCATCATGCTACATCTCTCCTTGTGGATGTTCTTGGCCAAATCGGCGAGCCGACCTCGGGTCCAATGTGACGGAGATATCAACATCGATGTCGACCAGAAACGTTTGACCTGTTACTGCTGCTTTTTGGGGGGTTGCATAAATTAATATACAATATACAGTATATCATATGTACTAGGTGCAAGTGACAAAGGAGTCAACGGAAGCATAATTCCTTACTCATCAGGAAACGACTACGCGGGCAAATGGGAATGAAACAACTCCTTCTCATCAGCCCAAGGACAGGGAAATAATTGAAAATTGCTGAAAGACTAGCCGAAAGCAAAGCATGCTCGAGCAAGCTCTCATTTTGTTTCTTTTTTGCTATGGTGTGTTTGTGGCCGTGTCCCCAAGTCCTATCTCATGTGCCGGATATTACTTCTTTTTGACGTACATCTCAGTGGTTTCGCACTCAGGAGTAAGGAGCACCGGCCCCCTACTGCCAAGTTGTAAGACGCCACGGGCCCTTAGCCTCAATCAAGAACCTACTGTAGATCATTATTCATTCGGGTATGTCTCATGACACTTAGGAAAAGGCTCAAGTTTTTTCAAGACTTCAAGGCCCACTGGCTTTAGTCGATTTGCATTTGACCTGTGCTCTTAAGACCGTTTTTGAGCCATCGGCCCTTGACCCGGTGTCCATTTTGCTCATCCCGTCTGCTCCGAGAAGCTGATGACTAAAGCTAAGTTGGACAAGCTCTGATTGATCATGGCCTCAATGGTCAACCAGCCAGTTCCAGTGGTGATTGTCCATTGGCTTGAAAATGCCACACAAAAAGGCCAATGACACCATTGACTTGCTAGATCTTGCTAGAGAAGTTCAATGCAAACTGGAAAGTCAAATGCCCAGTGAAGAAGGGCCCTTGGGCACTTAGAGAAGTTGTACCAGCTTAAGTCTCATACCATCTAAGAATTATATATATATATATATATACGGCGGGGACCATCCCCAAAATAAGGCTCAATTGTCATCCTGTTTTTTTTCTCAAGACCCCCACGCTTCACTTGCCCATGTTTCAGCCCCTTGAGATGATATTAAGGTCCCCAAATAAAGCCCAATCAACATGATGAACGACTCAGATTGCTCAACGATCTGCCCTCTGACCCTGCATGAGCCCATGACCTCTCCAGTCACTGACCTTCCTCCTCGGCCAAGTCTCTCCCTCCTTCAAACGGCTCCCCGAGGTCTGCGACTTCTTCTGTCGCTCAGAGCCAGCCAAATCCACCACGTTCAACTGAGATGGTGGCGAGGTCCCGGGGAAAGCGCCATGGATGTAAGCATGGATGTCGCAAGACTCGGAAAGAATATGGAAGAATATGTAAATATGCAATATGTATGACATTACATGACATTATGTAAAATGGCAGTGAGGCCGCCTGAGAGTGCGGGGGTCTGAGCTAGAGAGTGCGGTGGTGCATTCACTAGTTCAAGCACACCCGGCACCATACGCTTACGTAGACCAATTGTAACAAATGTAGACTCCTGTTTGATAAACCTAATATAGACTCCATAAATGAAGAGGATGTCCAATTCAAATGTCAAGAGGATTTGAAATTCAAATTGGGGGCTATAAATCAAGAGTTTACATTACATAGAAACACCCAACCTTCACGGACCATGTTCAATCACCATGCGGCCCGCTGTCGGAACATGAATCGGGTCTTCGGGTCTCCACATCGACACCGGGCCTTGGATCTTTGCTGGGTCTTGGCACCGCTGTTCCAAATCTTGTGGACGATCTCCATGCTAAAGATACAATGAGATCGGCTTGAGGTGGCCTCAAACGGTACGGAAAAGGTCAAACGGAAGGTGACGTGATGTGACGAGGTCGTCATCAGTCGTCGCTTCGTTGAGTGAGAGAAGCTTGAGAACAGGGACTTGGATATGGGAGGAAGGCAGCTCTGCAATCCGAAGACAGTGACCTGGGATCCAAACTGTAGGGAGTCCTACACCATTGGGGAATCCTAGAGGGAGGATTGGAGACCCACCAGCCAGGCTCCCCCTTGTTTGTTTCTTTCTGTGGATGTTAATTGAGGATCACTAAGGTATGTGCAAGGTGGCATTTAGTAAGACTTCCATCATCTTCCATCTGCCTCAAAACCACATTAAAACTATTGGCAATTGAGCTCAAACATGCACATTGACAGGTCAAGAGGACTGCAATGTAATGTCAACATCCGATTAAGGACCCCCCATACGGTTTGACCAGCCGTGTTCGTGTCATGTTAGCCATCTTACTTACTGTAAATCAACATATTGTTTAGTAATATGTTGAACAATAAATGTCTCCATCATCTTGAAATCTGGAGATCTCTGAGGACAGCCCGATTTATGTTTTTCTTTTTAAAGATACATGTGGACCACATGATCAAACTGGGCGCACTACCCCCCCGATTAGATTGTTCCACTTGCAACTGTCTTTATCCCTTTCTCCGACCTTTTTTCAATTCCAATCGATTGGCTAGGACTCTATCACGATAGGTTTATGAATCATGTCCAATTCAATTGCCCTTTTCTTCGATCGATCTCTCCTCGTGAAAAGGTTTGGAATCTCTCCTCATGAACAATTTGTGTCTTGGGGATCTCTCCTCATGAAGAGATTCCGTCTGGGGGGATCTTTTTCTCATGGAGAGATTTAGTCCTGGGAAATCTCCTATATAATGAAGAGATGTAGTCTTTGGCATCTCTCCTCAAGAACAGAAGGAGTCTTTGGGAGAGCTGTAGTCTTTGGGATCTCTCCTCATGAAGAGATGCAGTCTTTGGAATCTCATGCTTGCCCCCCCCAAAAGTATAAGACATTATAAGATATAAATATAAAATACAATTTGCCAGAGCTCCTCCGACCCCCCCACATAGCAAACCTGAAAGGGGATATTCATCGCGTGTCGACATTAGAGAAAATCCCTTATTCCACAATGCCCGTGTCCACAGGGAAATCGGCATCCACACTGCCACATCGACACTAAACTCATTGCAGCTATTGCATACGCCATCCCGTCGCATGCGCCATCGACGTCTTGCGAATCGGACATCGATCGCTGAACTCATTGACATCTGTCCCATTGACTCGTGCGACAGTCAGTGGGCAACACCAAGTCTGCTGCAGATGCTCGGGCATGGCAAGTGTCAGGGCCACCAGCCACGATCCACGTGCCCAACACCAAAACTCCAACCAAACACAAAGATCATGAATTGTCCAACGAAAGAAAGAACCGACCTCAGGGTTCCCCAAATTAACCTGCGCCCAATCTGCCCCCCCCAAACAACACACTTAGGGCAGCTAAGGCTTCACAGCGGCTCCACCGCCTTCCAGTGACGCTAACCGGCATCGCCCCGTGAAGTCGTTGGGACTCGGTTACCAAGAGACATTCATGGAGGTGCTGGCCACCGCCCTCGCTTTGACTCCAAAATCCAGCCATGCCTTCATGTTGGGCCAATCCTCAAGTCCAGCTTAGTGCGGGTCAGCCAAGTCCGGCGCAGCGAAGAAACATTCGCATGTGCGGCCTTAAAACAGCTCTAGATGCTCTAGAAATTGGTATCATGATCTTATCCAAGTTCCTGGCTATTATGGCCACATCCGACATGCCAGGAATCTGCTTGCAGCCGAGGAGCCATGACCGGCACCTCCTTCACTCCATGCCTGCGCGGCGAGCCACGTCGTAAACGGCGAAATACGACCAACAAAAGGCTCATCGAAATGATTTAGAAAGGTGGTTTCAACGATGTTCATCTATGTCAATTTCTAACAAAAACGAATCTAACATTCGAAGGTTCCAAAAACATCTGATCATATCTGATCTAAGAAGGTTTCAATTTCTAAGAAGGTTCCCACATCTACTGAATCATGCTGAATCTCAATGTTCAATGTGTGCCGACTGCTGACTTCGCAAAACACCGCAGCCAAGCCACACAAAGTTGCCAAATTTGGGATGAGCACGGACCTGCACGAATCCACGACCCACTCCACGACACTTGACACTTGATGCGGCATCAGGCACAGTCAGTATGGCACAACTGGCTTTGCATATCTCGTCGCCGAAAACGGAAGACCTGGATATGTCACACTCCATTACTTGGATTGAAAGTGCAGTTTCTTGTGCCAATCACGGTGCTCATGTCTGACAAGTGGATAATTAATAGTAGAACCAACACAGCCAGGCATAGCCAGGCTAGGACTAAAACAAATGAACATCTTAAGC